ATACAGGTGATCTAGCCATGAGCAGGTTGAAGAGAGTCCTAACGAGCCTTGTTTGGAGGACCGAACCCACCCGCGTGGGTGGACAAAATACAGGGATGACTCGTCGATCAGTACATGGGGGGGTGTTGTCAGTCTCTGAAACATCTTGAGACAAGGGTCACAGCCTTACCTTTGTGTTGAAGCTAGGGGTACTAGTGCAAAACGGCATGTCCCAGCATGATTGATGCGCTGTCACAACTTGCAGTTCAGGGAGGGTGGGAAACTGCAATGATTAGGCAACGATAGGCTCAGTGATCCTGCACGTGCAGGACTTGCCGCAGTAGGCTCTATCTGGAGCATTTGGTAGGGCCATCATCTCCAACTCACTGCCGCTTGGTACAGAGAAGGGACCGTACCTGTTCTCTCTTGGCAATGTCGCGATACACGTCACATCCAGCGCTTAGCTGCTTATGTTCGAAACCGACGGCATTTTAGTTGCTTGTTCTTGGTTATGGGCTAATCAGACCTTATCCGTATCTTAGTTGTCGTAAATTCCGCAGTGAGATATTTTTCTTGGTCGTCTCCAAGTCATTGGGATTCACCCAGTCTGCATGATGATTCCTAAAGGTAATGTTTCTCTTCCTGTGGTCTGATGTGGGGGGATGAGATAATTAGTATGTGAATAATTGTGACGTCTATTGGGCTTGGGGGGGGGGGGGGGGGGGGGGGGGGGGGGGGGGGGGTATTACACCGGTGGTTCAGCTTGAGGTGCCACTTGGACTGGGGTTTGAACCTGGTGCAGTTTGACAGTGCCAGGAGCAATGACGAGTGGTCCTGCCGTGCATGGCTTGGGTGTGTGGGTTGGCCTTGGATGGGTGGGCGGTGGGTGGGGAAATGGTGGGGCAGAGGGGGGAAGGGCAGTTCTCTTCTGGTTGTTCTTGTGCGCCAGATTGTCATCGCTCTGGCACTGTGGTTATTGGCGGTTCAGTGATGGAGAGAGTTTGTGTTAATGCCAAGACGAATCAATGGGCGGGTGAAAGAACAGCACGGCTATCTGACAGACGCATGAGGAGTTGTGGCAGCGGCGAATTGCTTATTCACGTTGTAACCTTCTCTCCGCTTCTGAGGATCACACAACAGGCGTGGAGGTTAAAGTTGTGTCCACGCGCCAGCTCCGTTCGGCTGCCTGCCAATCTGGAAAGTATGCTCTGGCTGTCTCTGCAGTCACCAATCGCTTATGTTGTGGCAAAGGATCGCGGCTTCCCTGGCTCGTGAGAATGCGCAATGCTCCTCTTCTCTGTCCCTTTTGACTTTTGTACATTACACTTGGCTGGACCACAGAGTTATGATTCACAGGGCAAGACACCGCGCAGAAATCTTAGGTCGAGGGGGAGTTCGTGGTGCCCAGTGTTGCATACAGAGGGATTGGGATCTTCTATTCCCAAGGAAAATACTGTGGCTTTCTGTTTCAGCTGTGGCCTGTAGAAAGTGACATCTTATCAGAGTTCAAGGGGGAGGGTAGGGTGCGTAGAGGTCCCGATTGCATTTGCGCTGGCCCTGACCGATGTGGCAAAGGAAGTTGGGTGTCTATCCTCCCCTCGCCGCCCTCGGGACGTCAAGAGGTGCCTCTCCTTTGTAGTTGCCTTCCGCCAGGGGATCATCTGGAAAAGCTAACATGTCTCTGCCACGGTGGTTGTCGGACTTCGAGGATCTGCACCTTATGACAGGTATGCTCAACTTTTTCGCAAATGGGCTCAGTGCAGATTTCCGGCCTCCTCTCCTGTCATGGTCATGGTCCCCGCTTTGCAAGGCTGGCATTCAGCACTCACGGAACACCAGGGATGCATGGAGTTTGTGTGTTGGGGATTACTTGTCTGGAGTCGTTCCAGACATGTTGACCTTGGCGCTGGTGGTTACCCATCTCATAAAGCTGAAGAGGAAGGAGGCTCGTCCATATATGACCGACCACCCAGGATGGTGCAAGTGGCTGGAGGAGGTGTTATCTCTTGTCCCTGCAGTGTTCGCATTGGCAGTCTTGTTGACATGGGGCCTTACCTCCACCTCTGATGTATTTCCATGGCCACAGCCACTTCCACGGAGTGCAGTTGCAAGGCTTGTGGTTCAAGCAGTGGCATGGATATTTGTGTTTGTTACACTTCGAGCGGACCACGCACGGGGGGATGCACACCCCTGGCATCTTTGTATCTGGTGGTTCTTCCGGCCATTCTTAGAGCTCCCGATATCCATCATGGCTGTAGGGACTTTGCGAAGGCAGTGGAGCCTGGACGCTGCTCAAGTCGTGGCATCCGTAGTTGTATGTTTGGTGTTTGGCACAACGGTCTCGCTCTTCAAGAGGGCACGACGACGAGTATCAACTAGCTACAAGGGGGGTCTGGAAGCCCCTTCGGCACTGGAGCCTCTTCTTCCAAGTGAGGACGATGACATGGTAGAAGTGCAGGCATCTGCGTGGAGTTGGTTGACGTTTAGTTCTGTGAATCAGCTCATTGAAATAGGAGTACAAAGGCAGCTTGGCTTTGACGATCTCTTCCCGATTGACCCAGAGCTGAAACCAAGCCGGTGCTGTGCCCAGCTATGGAAGCAGTGGACCCTGGACCGCAAGAGGGAAGATTGTAATGGCTCCAGCGGCAGTGCAAGAAAGGCATCTCTGCTGCGGGCAATCTCAAGGGCGTTTGGGTGGAGCTTGGTGCCACTGGGTTTCCTGAAGTTAGCGATTTCGATTCTCAACCTGATCGGTCCATTGCTTCTACGCGAACTTATCACTTTTCTGGACACTGGGAATACCGATTGGTCGGTGTGGCAAGGGTATTTGTGTGCTGCTGGGCTAGGCATGGCTTCGGTAATCAAGGCTGTGCTCGACACACATTACACATTTGGACTGAAGAGGGTAGCTCTGCAGTTGAATTCTAGCATCACGTGTATTGTCTACCGGAAAGCCCTGTGTCTTAGTGCTGTTGACCGGAAACTGTTCTCTACAGGAGAGATACAAACACTTATGTCTGTCGATGCTGGGCGGGTGGTGAACCTTTGTCAAAGTGTTCACGAGCTATGGAGTCTTCCCTTGCAGATAGGTTTGGCATTGTATCTTCTCTATCGGGAAGTCGAGTTTGCGTTCTTGGCTGGGCTGATGGTGATTCTTGTTCTCATCCCTATAAACAATTGGCTGGCGATGAAAATTAACAAAGCGACCAAGGAGCTCATGAAGAGCAAAGACAACCGTGTACGTCACACAGGGGAGATTCTTGCTGCTATCCGAACTCTCAAGCTGTATGCTTGGGAGACTCTCTTCATCGGCCGTGTAATGCGCGCTCGAGAATGCGAACTTCGGAGCTTGACTACTTGCAAATACCTCGATGCCTTCTGTGTCTATTTCTGGGCCTGCACGCCCATCCTGTTCTCGTTGCTCACCTTCGGCTTGTATGTGTTTCTTGGTCACCCCCTCGACGCCGCAACTGTTTTCACGAGTCTGGCACTTTTTAATGTGCTCGTGGGACCGCTGAACATGTTCCCTTGCGTGATAACTGGAGTGATAGAGGCATGTGTATCTTTGGACAGGTTGCGGCGCTTTCTCTTGGCGCCGGAGCTTAATGGGGCCTGGATTGCTGACATGGAGTTATCAGAGAGTGACGAGGATGATGACATGTCCCCAATGAAGGAAACTCGTGTGAAAACACCTTCGCCAAGGGCCGTCCCGGGGCCCTTCCCTGGGGGCATTTCGGTTGGTCAATCTTCCAGCTCCGTCGCAGAAACTGCCCTCCAGGTGGCTTTGTCCGCCTCTTCATCTAGAGGCTCCTCGCATGCCCGTGACTTGGGCGCCACTGGTGTGACGGACTCCGGTGTGGTTTCCACCACCACATCCAGCGGCCGTATTCTTTTTGAAGGGGCTGACATCGACCAGGGGCACACAGACAGCACATCGGTGTTCTTTCTTGGGGCCGACTTCACGTGGGCCACTGCAGTTGGGGGAGGAGTCCGGAGATCACATCTGAAGGACATCCGCCTTGCGGTGCCTGATGGTGCATTCGTTGCTCTTCTGGGAACGGTTGGCTCTGGCAAGTCTTCACTGTTGAATGCCATCTTAGGAGAGATGACCTGTACAGCCGGCTGTGTCGTGGTAAGAGGTAAGCTTTCTTACTTGCCACAGGCACCGTGGATTCAGTCAGGCACCCTCAGAGAGAACATCCTTTTTGGAAGTCCATATTTGCCGTCGAGATATGCCAATGTTCTCGAGGCCTGTGCTTTGAATGTTGATGTGGCGTATCTGAGGGGCGGTGACATGGCTGAGATCGGAGAACGAGGGATCAATCTCTCAGGCGGTCAACGGGCAAGAGTTGCTTTGGCAAGGGCCCTTTATCAGGACTGTGACATTTACTTGCTCGATGACCCTTTAAGTGCTGTGGATGCACATGTGGCAAAATGGGTAGTGCAGCATGCACTTTGCGGCCCTCTCCTCAAGGGAAAAACGTCCATCGTGTGCACTCATAATCCACTGGTATTGCAAGCTGCAGATTTGGCAGTTGTTCTGTCAAATGGAGAAGTCCAGTACGTGGGCCATCCCAATGGCTTGGGGCCGTTCTGGGGATCTCTTAATGCAGGGGATCATAAGGTTTCTGGGACGCAAGGTTCCGCTGACGTGATCTCTGAAGACGTCATCCCTCAACATGCGGGGGCTGAGGACACGCATGGGCCCCTTCCCTCTCTCGATGCCTCGGCAGAGCAAGCAGCCAGTCACATCATTGGCGAACATAAAGGCGGGGTGCAACAGCAATCGCTGGAGGCGGCACAGGATCCTGAAGAGAGGCGCCTCCTGCTTGGAGAGCAGCAAGTTGACGACAGTGCGGTGTCGGAGTGTGAGCAGGGGAGCCAGACCATGCAGATTGCGGGCTGTCATCAGCTTACTACATTGAGTGAGGACGACGGATCAAGTGAGGGTGGGGAGATTTGTGTGGAGGCTGGGGATGTTGACGGTAGTCTGGTCCGCGTGCCAAAAGAGCTTGTCAGTGTGGCAGAAGATGCAGTGATGATGCTCAGAGAAAACCTGTATGGAAGATCTGAACTGGATATCCATGAGGAGGTAGGAGCCCCAGGGATGGAAAGAGGGATTCCTCTGGTGGAAGAAGAGGCGAGAGAGGTCGGGGACGTAAAGCTCGAAGTGTACAAGGTTTATACTAAGTCTGCGGGTGTCTCGATGGCTGTGATTATCGTGGGGAGCATGGTGCTGATGCAGGTGTCCAAGAACAGCAGTGATTGGTGGCTGTCGTACTGGGTGGACCACGGGAACTCTGCTGATGCTGATCAGAGGGAAACTTTGTTTTACCTGGCAGTTCTTTTGGGGCTTGGAATCCTGAATTCCCTTTTCACACTGGCACGGTCATTTTCCTTTGCTTATGGTGGACTCCGAGCTGCCTGCAAGCTTCACGATCACCTTCTCAGGCGTGTAGTTTTCTCGCCGGTCGACTTTTTTGATCGCACGCCAATCGGCCGCATCCTCAACCGTTTCTCATCAGATCAGTACACTGTCGATTATTCCCTCCCTTTCATTCTCAACATTCTTTTGGCAAATGCCTTCAGCCTCCTGGGCGTGCTTGCCGTCCTCTGCTATGCACAACGCTGGTTTCTCGTGTTGCTTCCGCCTCTCGGTCTGTTGTATTTCTCTCTCCAACGGTCCTACAGAGCCACGTCCCGAGAAGTCAGACGATTGGACAGTGTTTCACAGTCCCCCATTTATGCAGCTTTTACGGAGGCCCTTGATGGCGCACCAACAATACGGGCATTCAAGGCTCAGCTACGTCTTGCGAACGAGAATGATCAGCGGGTCACACTCAATATACGTGCTTCCTACGCAGAGGTGGCCGCTGCTCAGTGGCTGTCGATAAGGCTGCAGATGATGGCAGCGGGAATCGTATCATTTATTGCTTTTACGGCGGTCATTGGAGTTCATAGCAGCATTGTCGCACCCCATGGGCATGCTGGAATTGTCGGGTTGGGTTTGTCGTACGCTCTTCCGATCGTCTCCATTCTGAACAACCTGTTGACTTCGTTCACGGAAACAGAAAAGGAAATGGTTGCGGTGGAGAGACTGCAGCAATACCTTGAACTACCCAACGAGCAAGCTGGGAGCGGAGCTGTCTATGTCTCGCCACAATGGCCTGAGAAAGGGGAAATCGTCTTTGAAAAAGTCACGCTTGTTTATCGGCCCGGTCTTCCGCCGGCTCTTCAGGAGATATCGTTTCACATCTGCGGTGGTGAACGAATAGGAGTCGTAGGAAGAACGGGTGCTGGGAAGTCTAGTATTCTTGTGGCCCTGTTCCGCTTGAAGGAGATAACATCCGGACGAATATTCGTTGATGGCATCAACGCAGCCGATGTGCCTGTTCGTGATCTGAGAGGGCGGCTTGCAGTTATTCCACAGAGCCCCTTTCTGTTTGAAGGCAGTGTTAGGGAAAATCTAGACCCAAGCTCCAGTGTGACCGATGACCGTCTCTGGGAAGCGCTGCACAAGTGCCATGTTCATGATGTGGTTGCTGCCATGGGTGGGCTGGACTCTAAGATTGGGGAAAATGGATGTAGTTTGTCTGTTGGCCAGCAACAGCTTTTCTGTCTTGCAAGAGCATTGCTCAGAAATGTACGTGTGATCTGCCTTGATGAATGTACCGCAAGTGTCGATCCGATGACAACTGAGCTTCTTTCGGAGACGATAGATCGAGAGTGCGTGGGAATGACGATCGTAACAATAGCCCATCGCATCAGTTCCATTGTAGAGTTGCAGAGAGTTCTCGTGATCGATAGAGGGTACCTAGTCGAGCAGGGGAACTCCAAGGACCTGCTTGCTAATCCACAGTCGCTGTTTGCCTCGCTTGCCCGGGCTGCAGGCATGTGAAAGCGAAAAATCTTGTTGTCTACGAAAAAAGTCATACGCCAGACATATTCGGCGAGTGTGGTATCATGCCTGGCTTCAGGCAGCAGTCGATCGATCGCTCCTGACTTGCACAGGTTGCTGATTCTGTCGATCCAGGAGGATAGAGGGTAATCAAAGTAGAAACTCTGAGTTGGGAATTGTCATCCCGTGGGCCTTAGACTCTTAGAGTCTCCGAATCGGAGCCCATCGACTCGAAGAAGCTGGCAAGTGGAGGTTGTAGTTGTTAGACAAGATTTTGGACTTCCGCCGCTGTCCAAACTACGTAGTGGTCACCTAGAAGAAACTCTCGCCATCATCAATCTTCTGACAGGTCAAATCATCTCAAATAACATTTGGTGCTGTGTTCCGACGGCTTGGGCTGGGCAACTGCTTAGTGTTTAGTGCATTCGTCATTCTGCAAACAAAGGCCGACTTTTTTAATTCAGGCCTGATCCCCATTGTAGCGAAAGATAGACCCGATCCCGTCTGCGTTTCTGCTTTATTGTGTCTCTCTTGGCTATTGCTAGCCATGTAGGAATGAGCAGTCAGTATCCGCGATTCTGTACGCATGTGTGATCGATTCGTCCGCCACAGTAGCACGAGCCGAAAGCCCCATCCATACCCCTATATGTCCACACAACTGAAGCATACAGGCCCATGGCCTTGGAACGTGTCTCATCGCTGATCGCATAGTACTGCATAGATAGATGAAAAACCTTGAGCCGTTTCACCTCAAACCGTTTTCAATATAGTAATGGTAGCTAGCTAAAGCCTAAAGCGCCCAACGTTTATTAGGGAAAGGACTTTCAGGTGAGGAAAGGAAAAATTCCGCGAATGCCAACTGGTCGAAACAGTTCCCTGAAATGCTTCTCATCATTCAAAGCAATTTCTTCAAGTACCCGCAGGCTAGGTCGCGTAGTACCTGTCATATATATATATATATGTATGGTCGGTGAAACTCCGACGAAACAGTTTGTCACAGCCCCTCGTTTGTTGTCCTCTTCTCCCTCTCTGCCTACGGTTTACCGGGCAGTTCTATTTGACGATATATATGTATGGTAAACCACAACAGTTGTAAGAGGTGGGAAATGTGCTCGCCACTGAGGTTGTATAGTTCGGACCTGCTGACGTTTTGGTTGAAGTCGTATATATATATATATATATGCCTTATAGCAGATCACTGCCTTTTTCTTTGCCAACCACGTAGTGCTATGTCGACGGCTCAAATATGTGAGGCCTACAGTAAAAGCTGCAGAGCTGGACAATAGCGAGTCGGCGGGAGATGCCGAAGGGGAAAAGCCAGCCATAGTGGAGGAGAAAGGGAATGAGAAGTCATATTGCCGACTCGCTATTTGCCAGCTGGTCGGAGGGAAATGGCCAGCGAGACTCTGGAGCGTACGAAGGATCTCATGGAGGGAGAAAATGCAGAAAGTACTTTGTAGAGTGCTGTACTTAAGCTTTGTAGACTATCTGGTATTGAGTAGAGTAGGCATGCTGTGCCCACTGGTCCAGCCGGAAACAGCGATAGGTGAGTTCTCTAATAAATGATCTCTATGATTGTCATCAGAGGACCCTTGTTCTTTATCGGGGTCTCCTCCTGTTTTCAGATTTGGAGGTGTTTCTCTTGTCACAAGCTGCGCCAAGGAGCTTCCCCCCCCCCCCCCCCCCCCCTCAGATTTTCGACATTCTTTCCAGGTTTTCTTCACTTTATACAAGCTTATAGGCTTTCTGGACCCTTTCAACTTCCAAGGTTTTGACTTTTTAATAGTCTTTATCAGTTTCCTAGCTTTCCAGGTGCTTCCTTTCCCTCTCAGGTTCCGCCGTTCCCTCTGTAACTCGCGTTTACTGCGAGTTCGTGAAGTTTCCTGCTGTAGCGTCTTCGTTTAGTACTGTTCTTTTTTTTTTTTTTTTTTTTTTTCCATTCTAGGCGTCCTGTAGTGCAGACCATCAAGCGCACGAATGATCTACGTGAGGCAGGCTGACCTGATGCCCTTTATTGTCTAGTATGTCTCCGGAGGCTAGGCAGCCAGACTTCCACTTCCTTTTATTGGTGAGTTTACCTACCAGCCATTGTCTCTCTAAGGTCATGCAATGTCCCGCCAACTCAGTAACGGTGCCAAAAGTCGAATGCATGGCATATTGGTACTATATCCCTCCCGAACGACTGTCGGCCAGAGTAGAGTGTGATGCTGAATCACATGGCATAGTGTAGCATATCGACTAGAGTAGACTGTGATGCCGAATCACATGGCATAGTATAGCACAGTATAGCATAGTATAGCATGGTACAGCATAGTATAGCATTAGTTCAGCACCGCGCGGTATAGCATCATACAGTATATAGCATAGTGCCATAGTCTAAAAATAGTACAGTACTGCAGGATGCTGTCCCAGTTCCACCTCTTCTTAGAGGATCGCACGACATGCTATAGCACAGTGTAAAGCGATATGGCTGCCTTGTTTCTTTCTTCTGTGGCTATAGAGCGGTTCACCATATGTCCAGGTGCAGGTGGAAATCTCAGTGAGCTATGACAAGACGAGACACGTGTGAACGCAGCGAGGACTAGCTAGGAAACCTGGTTCGAACTCGGGTATAGACTTGAGCACAGAATAAAGAGAGAATTTGTAAAGCGATATGGCTGCCTTGTTTCTTTTGTGGGTACAGAGCAGTTGAACATATGTCCAGGTGCGGGTGGACTCTCAGTTAGTTATGACAAGATGAGACATGTGTGAACTCAGCGAGGGCTAGCTATAGAATGTATAGACTTGAGCACACAGTAAAGAGAATAGCACAACATGTTATAGCACAGTGTAAAGCGATATGGCTGCCGTGTTTCTTTCTTCTGTGGCTATAGAGCGGTTCAACATATGTCCAGGTGCAGGTAGAAATCTCAGTCAGCTATGGCAAGATGACACACGTGAGAACTTGTTCACGCAGTGATTGCTCAGTATCGTCTTGTCCACTCCGCAGGTGAGGCATAGGATATATAGCGTAACAACTATAGTGCAGGATGTTGCGGTCTGCTGCCGCATTTGAGAACGCTACACGACAGTATAGCACCGTCTGATTGGATAATTGTGGCCTTATTTGTCATTCATTGTGGCAATGTAGCAGATCGATGTAGGTCCACGTGGAGTGTACCCTCCTCTGTTAATCTTTTTCATGTGATGTAAGGAGGAGGTTCTCTGCAGTGTGCACATGTTTTTTGCTCCATTGGAGTTTGAACCCAGGCGTGGGTGGAAAAAGTCAGTTACGACCAGCTGGTATGTGAAACTCAGGTAGAACCAGCAAGAAAACTCGGTGTCTAGGACTTTTGGACATAAAACTGGAATAAAATTGAATGCCTTAACGCGAAAGTGATAGCTTGGTATCACTGCGATTGGTCTGCAGGTGTCGTATGCATCATCCACGGTTTCATTCACTGATTCGATGTAGGAAGTTATCTGTTTTTCAGCCATTTAGGGAATGCTCACGCTTGCACCCTCACAAATGGACATGTATATGGCCAGCTTTTATGCCTCGGTGCATTCTTGATAGTCCCCTAGTGTGAATGTGCCCTTCAAGAACGTCCGGTTTCTGAATGGCCTCCTCTCCCTCCAGCTGTTCATGACCTCTCAATTAAACCACCCCGCTCCAACAGTCCCTGCACCGTTCATTTTTCTTGTCTACAAGTACCGGGCCAAAATCTACAGTGCCCGGGCCCGGTAGAGGTTCCGTCGGGAACGGACGGTACCACAATTAGTTTTCCTCACGGCGGCACTCTCGATCTTCGGCTCGGGGAAGTGTGACTTTTTTGCATTGTCTACGTAGGTCCGGATCGAGCGGTGGTTTTCAGAAAGTTGTGCCGTTTTGGTCTCTGCTGTTTTGGAAGGCAAATGTTTTGTCTTCGAGCAACAGGGCGATCTCTCGGGCTTTCAGAATTTGTTTATATTCTGTCCCAGCAATCTTGAAAAGAAATGGTCGCACCGAAGGCCATGTTGGCTGGCAAGTGACTGCAGTGAGTGACTTTAGCAGATATGGTGGCAGGCAAGCGAGCACAATCGGCAACGTGGGTTTGAGGGGTTGGGGAAAGTGCAACTTCTTCGTTGAACGTCGAAGGGAAGGTTTGGAACTGCCTTTTCTGATGATGGAGTAATAAATACTAATAATGGGAAAAGGAGACTCTGAAGGTTCATTCATGTGCTGTTCTTGACGTGAAAGTCCTGTCTGTATAGAGATGCCGGCAGGGTAGTGAGTTGCCAGCCGATTTCTCGAAGCAAACTTTAGGGTTTAGGGTTTTGAGCAGGAGCAATGCATTGCTATTAGAAGGGTTGGGGTGCATGGTTGGGTTGGCGGCGGCACGACGACGTACATGAAAAGGATGTGATGACGGGATTTGTGTCGTGAAGGGAGGGAGGGGTGTAGTGGGTGCAATACGGAAAGTTGTGGGCATTCGTCGACGACCAGGATGTGCGTGGTTGGGTTGGGTTGGCGAACACACGGGTGATGGATGACTTGTGCCAATATGCAAAGAATTCCAGAAGTGATTAGTTAGTCATCTGCAGTGTGAGGCAAAACTTGTGTGCATTCGTTAACGGGAGGGGCGTGTATGGCTGGGTTGGCAGCCACAGTGGTGACTTGTCCCATGGAGGGAGGGAGGGACGGAGAGGCGGAGGGAGGGTGGTAGTGGGTGCAATACAGAAAGGATTCCCAATATTGATTGGGTAGCTATCTGCTGTGCGAGGCAAAAGGCGCCTCAATTAGTTAACGACCAGGTTCCGATCGTCAGTGACTGGAGGAATGCAGACTCCAGGCCTGTTTTGGCAATCACAGACGAAGGGGATATCCCGGAGAAGCAGGGTATCGGAGGGATGAGGCGAGGGGGAGATTGAGAGGTGACAGATTGGTTGATGGTAAACGTGTTCGTTCATCCAGCAGTTCTGTCGATGTCCTCAGCCACTGTCTATTGTTGGATCAGCAGTGGAACAAATCTTTGAGTCGATGATGTGTGCGCATCAATCTGCTTTGGACGTGTGGCGGTCATTTCGATCCGCCCATCGATCAATCTGCTTTGAGATCGATGGACTGATTGGCACAGCAGTTTCTTTACCGGTTCTGCTTTGCACGTGCGGCACTCAATCACGCCAAATCGATCTATTCCCTCGTCTTCTCTTTGCTCAATCCCAAAGCCGTAGTGCGAGATCAGTCTTCTTGGAACCTTATGTGTGAAAAAGAAGAGAAAATTATTAACCTCAAGGGAAGCTGGAAGCCAAA